GTCCTTGTTATGTTTTTTTCTTTTTTTATGAGATTTGTTACATTTTGTTGTCTTTCAGTTTTTATAATCTGTTTATTTCTAGATGTGTCCTCCCCCTCCCATCCCCCCTCCCCCCGGAATAAGAGAAACAGATTAAAAATAGTAGGGAGCAAATTAAATTGAACGGTAATCCAGTTTTAATCCGTCTGCAGTAGACACGCAGGGCCGCCGCCGCCGCGCTCCAGTAATTCATTCGGTGGGGGAACATCCAGGGACGAGCATGTTTCGTGGGGGGACATCCAGGGACGAGTATGTTTCGTGGGGGGACATCCAGGGACGAGTATGTTTCGTGGGGGGACATCCAGGGACGAGTATGTTTCGTGGGGGGACATCCAGGGACGAGTATGTTTCGTGGGGGGACATCCAGGGACGAGTATGTTTCGTGGGGGGACATCCAGGGACGAGTATGTTTCGTGGGGGGACATCCAGGGACGAGTATGTTTCGTGGGGGGACATCCAGGGACGAGTATGTTTCGTGGGGGGACATCCAGGGACGAGTATGTTTCGTGGGGGGACATCCAGGGACGAGTATGTTTCGTGGGGGGACATCCAGGGACGAGTATGTTTCGTGGGGGGACATCCAGGGACGAGTATGTTTCGTGGGGGGACATCCAGGGACGAGTATGTTTCGTGGGGGGACATCCAGGGACGAGTATGTTTCGTGGGGGGACATCCAGGGACGAGTATGTTTCGTGGGGGGACATCCAGGGACGAGTATGTTTCGTGGGGGGACATCCAGGGACGAGTATGTTTCGTGGGGGGACATCCAGGGACGAGTATGTTTCGTGGGGGGACATCCAGGGACGAGTATGTTTCGTGGGGGGACATCCAGGGACGAGTATGTTTCGTGGGGGGACATCCAGGGACGAGTATGTTTCGTGGGGGGACATCCAGGGACGAGTATGTTTCGTGGGGGGACATCCAGGGACGAGTATGTTTCGTGGGGGGACATCCAGGGACGAGTATGTTTCGTGGGGGGACATCCAGGGACGAGTATGTTTCGTGGGGGGACATCCAGGGACGAGTATGTTTCGTGGGGGGACATCCAGGGACGAGTATGTTTCGTGGGGGGACATCCAGGGACGAGTATGTTTCGTGGGGGGACATCCAGGGACGAGTATGTTTCGTGGGGGGACATCCAGGGACGAGTATGTTTCGTGGGGGGACATCCAGGGACGAGTATGTTTCGTGGGGGGACATCCAGGGACGAGTATGTTTCGTGGGGGGACATCCAGGGACGAGTATGTTTCGTGGGGGGACATCCAGGGACGAGTATGTTTCGTGGGGGGACATCCAGGGACGAGTATGTTTCGTGGGGGGACATCCAGGGACGAGTATGTTTCGTGGGGGGACATCCAGGGACGAGTATGTTTCGTGGGGGGACATCCAGGGATGAGTATGTTTCGTGGGGGGGCATCCAGGGACGAGCATGTTTCGTGGGGGGACATCCAGGGATGAGCATGGCGGTGCAGCGCGTCCAATCCTCTGATATCTTCCTTCCCCTAAAGCGGCGCCCACACGCGGCAATCGGATAATCTAATGTTTTCACGCCAGTCAGGCCTGACCCATAGCCTTGTATTCAGAAAAGGGGACATTATGTGCGGCACCGTGCCGGCCCCTCCCCCCGGCCGTGATCTGTCTGCACAGAGACGCAGTGATGACATCACCGTGTGTAGAATAAGCTCTGTATATGGGGGTCTCTATGGTGATATGTTTTGGGGTGCACACACTGACCTCACGTTGCTCCCCTGCAGGAGGTCGATGTGGGCGAGGAGGTCCAGATGCTGCAGGAAAGTCTGCTGGACGTCCTCCTTCAGACGCTGCTCATCATCATGAGTAAATCTCAGTCGCAGGAGGCGGTAAGAGGCCAACGCTGCCCCCAGTGCACCGCCGAGATCACCGTTAGTAACTAACTTTCATTTCTTCTTTCTAACCCCTCCCCCGTCCATCCCATCATCCTCCACCATACTAGGTAGCAGCCGGCACAGGACTGGCATTGCCATGGCCAACAGACCCTGTATACCAACCAGACTGGTAACCTCAGTTCATGACTAAGTGGTAACCGTGGGCAACCGGTACAAGGAGGTACAGAGAACGCATCCATGGGAACAGCGGGGCTTATATAAAGCTCCTCTCCACCCGAAGACGACTGTTGTCAGATCTCTCACTTCCTCCCAACAGATACATTGCAAAGCCTCAGGAGGGTGTCACCATTGTGGGAGGGACTGAGACCATTGTGGGAGGGGCAGAGACACAAACTATTGGAGGGGATCTCACCATTGTGGGAGGGGCAGAGACACAAACTACTGGGGGGAAATCTCATCATTGTGGGAGGGGCAGAGACACAAACTACTGGGGGGAAATCTCATCATTGTGGGAGGGGCAGAGACACAAACTACTGGGGGGAAATCTCATCATTGTGGGAGGGGCAGAGACACAAACTACTGGGGGGAAATCTCATCATTGTGGGAGGGGCAGAGACACAAACTACTGGGGGGAAATCTCATCATTGTGGGAGGGGCAGAGACACAAACTACTGGGGGGAAATCTCATCATTGTGGGAGGGGCAGAGACACAAACTACTGGGGGGAAATCTCATCATTGTGGGAGGGGCAGAGACACAAACTACTGGGGGGAAATCTCATCATTGTGGGAGGGGCAGAGACACAAACTACTGGGGGGAAATCTCATCATTGTGGGAGGGGCAGAGACACAAACTACTGGGGGGAAATCTCATCATTGTGGGAGGGGCAGAGACACAAACTACTGGGGGGAAATCTCATCATTGTGGGAGGGGCAGAGACACAAACTACTGGGGGGAAATCTCATCATTGTGGGAGGGGCAGAGACACAAACTACTGGGGGGAAATCTCATCATTGTGGGAGGGGCAGAGACACAAACTACTGGGGGGAAATCTCATCATTGTGGGAGGGGCAGAGACACAAACTACTGGGGGGAAATCTCATCATTGTGGGAGGGGCAGAGACACAAACTACTGGGGGGAAATCTCATCATTGTGGGAGGGGCAGAGACACAAACTACTGGGGGGAAATCTCATCATTGTGGGAGGGGCAGAGACACAAACTACTGGGGGGAAATCTCATCATTGTGGGAGGGGCAGAGACACAAACTACTGGGGGGAAATCTCATCATTGTGGGAGGGGCAGAGACACAAACTACTGGGGGGAAATCTCATCATTGTGGGAGGGGCAGAGACACAAACTACTGGGGGGAAATCTCATCATTGTGGGAGGGGCAGAGACACAAACTACTGGGGGGAAATCTCATCATTGTGGGAGGGGCAGAGACACAAACTACTGGGGGGAAATCTCATCATTGTGGGAGGGGCAGAGACACAAACTACTGGGGGGAAATCTCATCATTGTGGGAGGGGCAGAGACACAAACTACTGGGGGGAAATCTCATCATTGTGGGAGGGGCAGAGACACAAACTACTGGGGGGAAATCTCATCATTGTGGGAGGGGCAGAGACACAAACTACTGGGGGGAAATCTCATCATTGTGGGAGGGGCAGAGACACAAACTACTGGGGGGAAATCTCATCATTGTGGGAGGGGCAGAGACACAAACTACTGGGGGGAAATCTCATCATTGTGGGAGGGGCAGAGACACAAACTACTGGGGGGAAATCTCATCATTGTGGGAGGGGCAGAGACACAAACTACTGGGGGGAAATCTCATCATTGTGGGAGGGGCAGAGACACAAACTACTGGGGGGAAATCTCATCATTGTGGGAGGGGCAGAGACACAAACTACTGGGGGGAAATCTCATCATTGTGGGAGGGGCAGAGACACAAACTACTGGGGGGAAATCTCATCATTGTGGGAGGGGCAGAGACACAAACTACTGGGGGGAAATCTCATCATTGTGGGAGGGGCAGAGACACAAACTACTGGGGGGAAATCTCATCATTGTGGGAGGGGCAGAGACACAAACTACTGGGAGAAAATCTGTTATTTGGAGTACACAAGAGATATAGGAAATGACTCAGTGATTCGGTCTCACATTGGCCACCCAGGAATATCATTTTTTTGGATGGACATTAATAACGGGTAAAGGGCACCAATGTGTAAGTAACTCAGGGCAGACATCGGCTTGTACTAGTAGAGGATGGAAGGAGATAGTTGATTGGTTTTTATGGTGTAATTTGATTTATTAAAGTCAGAAATAATATTTACATCTGATCTGCACCATAAATCACCGGAGTTCCCTGGAAATAAACTGCAACAATGTAACAAATGAGTGCCAGAGCCAGTTATAGGCGACACAGAGGAGGATCTCTCGGGGTAAAACCACCATTATAAACACTGGTTCTCTATCCCCGGAATACTCTGATCTCTTCCGGCCAGTTTGGGGATATAAATTGAGTCCTTTCATGTGAAGACACTTTAATTCACCTGCAATATTTCTTGACACGAATAAACTTCTGTCATCTTTATGATGTAGAAACTCGGAAAACTCTGAAATTCTCATGTTTGTCTTTGTATATATTTGATGAAGTTCTGTAGAATAAATGACGTCATCTCATGTGCGGGACTCAATTCGGACTCATGGGGGATGCGCAGTGATTGTTGTTCCTCTCTGTGTCCTGTAGGGGGAGTACGTCTCCTGCCTGCTGTCTCTTCTGCGACTGATGTCAGATACTCATTACCAGCACCTACTGCACAACTTCCAGAGCAAGGAGGAGCTGAAGGTGAGGCGGTGTCACTGTACAGCCCGGATTGTTATATATGTAGGAGATGTTTCTCTGCTACTTTATAAAGGCGAGCCGGGGGGGGGGGGGGGAGGGGGGGGAGACCTAGCTCGTCCCCCTCCCATCACCACTT